ACCCTGAAAATATGAGTTTTTAAAACGAAAAAATATTCACATTGCAACATTTTTGATTATTTATTGCATCTTTAATATATTATCTTGAACAGGCATAACTGTGCAATACAGACTCTAAGACTCTAAGTGAAACATACTGGAACAGCTAATTCACGAGCAATATTTTTCATGATCTTTGGGATTTTCTTCGTTAAAAATCTGCTCATGTTTTCCGATTCACTTCAGTAACTTCACATCATGTTTAGGTCAGCATTTCCATAACGATTGTTCGGTAAGGTTTTGTTGAAATTGTGAGTGATGTTTGTGTATTTCAATATCAGTTTCCAGATTTTACGTCAATAATTTAATTTTCTTACTCTTTTACTTTTTTTTAAAATATGAAATAATTATAAATTCGATGTCGAAGACTAGATAAAAAATCATCATTTCCTCATTTTATATAAAGTGTTTAGTGATGCTATAATTGAATTTTTCCTAAAAACACTTTCGTTAATGACGCAAGTGGAAATCTCTCTTTGATTATTCTTTGCAGTCGTTAAAATATTGAGAAAAATCTTTCCAGTGAAATGAAACTACGACATACATAAATGATCTTTCCTATGCTAACATGTAGTCAGTTATTACCAAAATCGTAAAATCCATCTTCATAGCAATGGATAACAAAATTAATAATTAAGAATTCCGGAAAAATTAAGAACTTCAAAATATCGATAGAAATATATGCCGTAAAATCAGCATTAGGAGCATTTAGGTATATCAGAGCCAGCAGCAATAGCAACACAATATTTTGGTCAGCATCAAGCATTAAAAGAACTTCATAGTCACTATAGCTGTCATCGGATAATGATATTTCTTAAAACTAACGCTAAAATTATTCAATTTCATTCATCCATCGGCTAGATTAATAATGGAGCGGAAAAATTCATTTCTATTGATCATCAAAGAAAACTATCTTATCCAGATAAATTAGATTTTTCTGATACATAGTGACTATGAAGTTCTTTTAATGCTTGATGCTGACCAAAATATTAATGTTTGTGTTGCTATTGCTGCTGGCTCTGATATACCTAAATGCTTCTAATGCTGATTTTACGGCATATATTTCTACCGATATTTTGAAGTTCTTTTTTCAAAAAAACAGTTAGATACATATATCTAACTGTTTTGCAATTATTTAATTGCTATCGGTTCCACATTATAGTCAGAAACTCAGCTTAAATTTATAAAATAATAAAATTATAGTTAGAAACTCAGCTTAAATTTTAGCTTTTACTATCAACAAATAAATAGATATTCCCTTTGATAATTACTGAGATATTGTAAAAATAAAATAATAAAACGATCAAAATGAAGGCGTGAGATGTTGCTGGAAATCAGAAAAGGTCTTAACTTACCCTGGTTCTTCAACTTTATAAATGCTTGATAAAGAGCTTTCTAATGGTAAAATGGGAATACATCGGTAGTTCGCATCTTGATTTGTGGTACAATTAAAAGTTTTCTGAGCTGAGAGACCATTCTAATATAAAATATGAAAACGGTAAAATATTGTGATATGAATTGGTCCACTTAGTTAAAATTATTTCTCGAAAAAATTCTTAATTTCATATTCTTGATATTATATTCTTGACACTTTTTATGTTTTCGAATTATATTTTTGATATTATATTTTTAAATTATATTTCTGGCATTTTCAAAGATTACCTGTAAAAATAAAGTTCATAATATTATGCTTTTTAGGTATATATTAAAGAATGGTAGTCATATGCCCGAATTAGTACGTAAGAGGCAATACGGCAATAAACCGCCTGCATCAATAAAAACATCATTGATTAATAGTATATAATAAGTGCGCCAAAAAAATCGAAGGAAAATAGCAAGAATGAAGTCATTAATGGATTGCTGCATTATAAAAAGATTATTCTGAAATTTCAAAGATTGAGATGGCAAATTTTATGCTCAACAATTATTTTTAATAAAAAAAAATTTTTTTGAGTTGTTTCATGACAGAAAGTTAACTTTTCAAGTTTCAGTTTTATAAATTTGATGTTCAAAAATTTAGAAACAATAAAAAAATTTTAAATAGGTAAAAGCTTGGTAATAATCTGAATACTGTAAGTATTCTGTGGAATAATGACAAATTTTTCATAGTCTCATCGAAAATCATAGTTTATGAAAATTTATGCAAATATATGACTGCTTCTGTAACTTCGATGTAACTAGCAACAGAATAAAATATTGTTATTTAATTCCTTTTTTCTGAAAAATTGAAAAATCGTTTTCTGGAAATTTATAAAGGGTACGCTGTTCTAACGCTTATTAAAACTATCGGTCGTCTGTTCGTATCAGTCATTTTGGTTTCGAAATAACTTATTTCGATTACTAAATTTTATTCATCTTTAAGAAATAATGTCACTTCGTTTGCACAAAGGTATATATTTAAATGAATTAACTGTGATTAATTAAAATTTGTGACTACGAATTATTAGATTATTTAAAGAAACAGGACGGTAGCATTACTTATATAGTAATTATCTTTGTTATACTTTGCTTTAATAACTCGTATTCTTTATTCAACCTTCAAGGCATTAAAGACTTTCATAAAGAAAATTTTCCTTACTTAACTTAGAAGACAATTTTAAATTTAAATCATGAATAGGAAGAATATATTAAAACATTTGTTAAATTTAGTGTGAATCAGCTGCAGTGCTTTTTGTAATGAAAAATTCTTCCCTTTTTTTTGCGTTGCAACAAGATGAAAAGAGTTGCAAATTCTCTTTCACTTAAGTTCCAATTCTTGCCAGAGATTCAAACTTGGGAATTAAACCTTTACTACGATAAATTAGATAATATATTAACATAGCACGTACAAGATCAATATACAACAAAATCAATCATTTCAATAAAACAATTTTAAAGAAAAGGATATTAAATGACGCCATCCGCCTTGATAAAGCATATTCTTCATAATGGTTTCGTGTTGAACCCTAGTATTGTTGTGAATGCAAGAATAAAGGGACTTTGTTATAGAGTGGGAATTATAGCTCATAGACAAAGGCGAAACAATTTTTAACTTGCATCTTTCATTGTACAGTAAATGCGCACGCACATACAGCATATACCCTTTCATATGAGATCCAACACAAAGAGTGTCTTCTCTGATTTTCTTGTTCTCTTCGTAATTTTAACGATGATCATATTTTTTTTTTTATCACGGAAACCTTTTGCAATTTATTCGCGACATTTCCAATGGATTAAAGTTGTTATATATGAAGGCGTAAATTATCAAAATGAAGAAATTATGTATTTCGTCAATTCGATTTTTTAAAAATAAGTTGTGCTCTTATTCGATGTTCAAAGCATTGAGAACTTTCATAATGAAGACTTTCATGCGTTCCAAATAGCATTTTTGCTTAATTATACAAAAAATTTATATTTAACTCATGAACAAAGATCACATATTGGACCATGATAGATTTTAGAAAAATCTGAACCTAATTTTAATGTTTATATGAGAATCGGTAACTTTGTCCCAGTTCATTTTTATCATTATTATTAATTTATGCCATACTTTGCTTTAACAATCTGAGGAATTAAATCAAAAAAAAATTAATAGTGTGTGGAACTAAATCATAACAGAACTTTATCAAATCAATATTATACTCACGAAAGGCTAAAATCGATATGAAATCAAAGAACACATATAGTAGTACCACTCACATAAAAGTATGTGAATTGTATTCGCATGCCACTATGATTTGAAATAATTATTCCAAATAAAAAGCCTAAATCCTCTGTTTCTGACAGGGTCACTTTGAAGCAAAAATCAGTTTGATGTTAAGTCCTGAATACATATTCAAAATAGAATTTTTTCTGCATAGTATTTTGTTTTTATATTTCGTTATATCCGTTGCATATCAATAAAATATGTGAGATAAAACAGAGTTCATAGTTTTGAATATGATATTATTTCTTCTATTAATATAACTGTATTGCAAATATTATTTGTTGGTTTATTCTTCATGCAAAGCAATTTTTCAACTGAATTTTTGTATTTATTTTTATCCCTTCACAACTTCTTACCGCATAAATTGAACGTAAATTGTTTCTAGCCCGTATGAATTAGGTTATGTATTTTTAGATTGCTGAGTTTACTAAATCCCTTGTTGCATATGTCGCATTGGAATGGTTTCTCGCCTGCATGAATAAGATTATGCGTTTTCAGAATTCTGCGTTGATTGAACTTCGCATCGTGTACATCGCATTTAAACCGTTTTTCGTTTGAACCTTTTCGATTATATTCATTTAGATCTAACTGATTATTTATTCGTTCCTTTATTGATGAATCATTTTTATTTGGCATTTAAAATTGTGCAAAATGATTCATTTCATAATAGATTGATTTGATGATTATTTTTCTTGAAATTTTTGACCAGTTTCAATCTTATGTAAATTTATGCAAACAAAAATCATTGCTGTTTCTGTAATATCAATATAACTAGCAGCAGACATCAATATTACTGTTTAATTCTTTTCATTTTAAAATTTAGAATACAATAAACCGGATGAATTATTCATTGCTAAAAGGTACTATTTTGCAGCGAAATATTGAAATTTGTAGAAAGTCAAATATTTCAAATTTGATAATCCGATTTTATTAAAACCGATTCGAAATAAAATTTTTATTTGTTTGCCAAAAATAATTGTCGATGGAAAATATAAGCACTTGTTTATTGCTTTTTCTATTCAAAGCCTATAGATGGAAAATGATCATTTAGTGATCGAAAATGTTAATCATTTCTTTTTGTTGTTGGAGTATTAGGTCTTCTTCCGAGTAAATCGATTATTTGGAAATCTCGTCCGCAAAATAAAAAAAACAGTTGTTTCTTTGCGACTTCAAAAGTGGTTTTAATAAGGAAATCATACTTATTTAAACAGATTCTACTGACTGTCTATCTTTTTCATAGATCACAAAATAAATTTTTTTAAATTTGTGACATTGCATAAGTGGCAGTGCATATACTTCCAGCAGTATTATAATTAATATGGAATGCATTATACTGAGCAAGTTCTAGTACTTCAAATGACAAGTTGTAATGTTTTGAATGTCTTATGATATATGCTAATTTACTACTGTTATGCTATATTTTATATTACTTATAACTTGCTTATATGTTGTGTCGCTAGGATGGTGTTTTGATTAGCAATACTGGACTATCTTTTTGAGACTATCTTATTTGTCATTTTAATTTTCTGTCACTATGAGTCATGATTAGTTTTTTTACAATTTTATCTTTGATTTCAAATTTTTTACCACTGGATAGTTTAATTTTTTTTTGTTTTCTGTGTGTATATTGCTCTTCTATTTTTATTCTATTAAAAAATTCATTAATCCAAATCCATTTATAAGAAGCACTTCTAAAAAGTCATTAAAATTCTTTTTTATATCAGAATATGAAAAAAATTATTGCAGCAGTAATTGTGTCGTATATTTAAGAGTCATAAATCAGCTTGTAAACAGAAAAGTTATGCTCAATGACTTAAAGGTTCCGTAAATTTACAAGTACTATTGAAAATGTCTTCGCAAAATTCGATATGGGAAGGAGTATGTGTGTCTGTTTTCCTCAAATTTAACTACAGAATGTGATACTTCCATTAACTGCAAAAAGTTTATGAGGGAATGATTCATTAATAAATGAGTCTCGATTTACGAATGGTAATCCGGAATCCACTTATGGTTATCTGAAATAATCGGTGCCTAGTGTTGCTACTCGAGAAATTTGCTAAGTAATACCATCTAATTTTTGTGTGAAACGTATCAGAGCAATTAAAGTTGAATAAGCTCTAAACACTTTGTTTAGCAAATGACAACTTGTGATAATAGTTTAATACGTTAAAATCTAAAAACTACACCTAATTCACTTGCTGGATGTCCTCATAATATCAACGTCTTCCAAGTAAATTGATAAGAACTGTCTACGAGATCGAGTCATGTACAAGTCGAAGTTATTCTGATGTGCAAATCGATCGTCTGATTTTGGTATAGGGGCGAAAGACTAATCGAACTGTCTAGTAGCTAGTTTCTTCTGAAGTTTCCGTCAGGATAGCTGGAGCACGTAATAAAGTAGTTATATCCGGTAAAGCGAATGATTAGAGGAATTACAGGGCGAAACGTCTACAACCTATTCTCAAACTTTCAATGAGTATGACTCTTGCTTGCTTGAATGAAGCATAGAATTAAATGTCTACTCCAAGTGTGCCATTTCTGGTAAGCATAACTGGCGCTGTAGAATGAATCAAACGTTGAGTTAAAGTGCTAAACTTTCCGCTTCTGAGACCTCATGAAATGCGTTGCTTGATATATACAGCAGGACGGTGGTCATGGAAGTTGGAAACCGTTAAGGAATGTGTAACAACTCACCTGCCAAATCAACTAGCTCTGAAAATGGATGGCGCTTGAGCGGAAGACTTATACTCAACCACTGCATGGCTTGTATTTAAATTAAATAAAAAAAAACAACAAAAAAAACATGGCCGCTACGAATAAGAGGTTGGCAATGGTTAACGTTAAAGATTTTGGGCGTAGGCCCAATTGGAGCTTCCATTAGTGCAAATCTTGGTGGTAGCAACAAATATTCAAGTGAGATCTTTGAAAACTGAAGTGGAGAAGGGTTCCACGAACAGCAAATGAATGTGGATCAGTCGATCCTAAGAACTTGGCCAATGCCGTTTAATAAAATAGAGGAATAGAGGTGTAATCCATCAGATAGAATCGAAAAAGAAATAGGTTAATATTTCCTACGTGGACACGGAGGTAGCGCGGTAACGCAAATGAACTCGGAAAATTAAAGAAAGCCCGAGCCAGAGTTCTCTTTTCTGGTTAAGGAACGGACTCCCTGGAATCGATTTAGCCGGAGATAGGGACGTTGTTTCCGTAAAGCGCCACGGTTCCTGTGGTGCCTCGTGCGCTTTGTTCGATCCATGAAAATCCGAGGGAAGCTATTTGAATTTCGTGCCAGATCGTACCCATATCCGCAGCAGGTCTCCAAGGTGAACAGCCTCTAGTCGATAGAATAATGTAGGTGAGGGAAGTCGGCAAATTAGATCCGTAACTTCGGAATAAGGATTGGCTCTAAGGACTGGGCCGGTCGGGCTGTAATGTAAAGTGAGTATGATTTGATCCATGCAATGTAACATTAATGCTTAAAATCATTGATGAAACCCGGTTAGTATTCGAACTGTCTTATGGACCGTTATAGCTGTGTATCACATTTACTTTTTTTCCAAAAAAATGAATGTTTAATTGATATTTCGGCCGGCGTCAAACAGTTAACTTAGAACTGGCACGGACTCGGGGAATCCGACTGTCTAATTAAAACAGAGGAGACAGATGGCCCTTGCGGGCGTTGACTGTCTCTGATTTCTGCCCAGTGCTCTGAATGTAAAAGTGAAGAAATTCAACCAAGCGCGGGTAAACGGCGGGAGTAACTATGACTCTCTTAAGGTAGCCAAATGCCTCGTCATCTAATTCGTGACGCGCATGAATGGATTAACGAGATTCCCACTGTCCCTATCTACTATCTAGCGAAACCACAGCCAAGGAACGGGCTTGGTAAACACAGCGGGGAAAGAAGACCCTGTTGAGCTTGACTCTAGTCCGACTCTGTGAAGATCATGAGAGGTGTAGCATAAGTGGGAGGTATTAAATTTAATTTAATACCATCAGTGAAATACCACTACTTTCATCGATTCTTTACTTATTCGGTAAAACGAGAATTGAAATATTTATTAAAATGTTTCGAAATTTTTGATTTAAATTAAATTACTCGGTAATTTAATGACTTGCACCGAAGACAGTGTCAGGCGGGGAGTTTGACTGGGGCGGTACATCTGTCAAAATGTAACGCAGGTGTCCTAAGGCTAGCTCAGAGAGGACGGAAACCTCTCGTAGAGTAAAAGGGCAAAAGCTCGCTTGATCTTGATTTCCAGTACGAATACAGACCGCGAAAGCGTGGCCTATCGATCCTTTTGAATTAATTAGAAGGTTTCTAGCAAGAGGTGTCAGAAAAGTTACCACAGGGATAACTGGCTTGTGGCAGCCAAGCGCCCATAGCGACGTTGCTTTTTGATCCTTCGATGTCGGCTCTTCCTATCATTGCGAAGCAGAATTCGCCAAGCGTTGGATTGTTCACCCACCAATAGGGAACGTGAGCTGGGTTTAGACCGTCGTGAGAAAGGTTAGTTTTACCCTACTGTGATATGTTGTTGCGATAGTAATCCTGCTCAGTACGGGAGGAACCGCAGGTTCAGACATTTGGTTCATGTGCTTGGCCAATCGGCCAATGGTGCGAAGCTACCATCTGAGGGATTATAACTGAAACGCCTCGAAGTCAGAATCTCACCTAGACAAGGCGACGATAATTACAGCTAATGCCCTATTATATGGTCTTGCTACTTAATCGAGTGGTTAAATGGTTGCCAAAACGGGTTATGCATATCAAATAAATGATATTTTTGATTTAAATTATTTTTATAAAATAAATAAATAAATATATTTATAAAAACTATTTTCAATAATTTCAATGAATGAGCAATCAATTTATACACATACTAACACATAGAGAATAATAGCAGCAGCAGTATTAATTTGATATATATGTATGTACATGTGTAATACGATTACATGCGTAAAGCAAATCAAATAATGGTATATATGTATAATAAATAAATATATACATATATATATCGAATAAATGAAATGCTCCGTTGTATGATTTGAAGTTTATATTATATTTAATATAGAAAATTGAAATTTATTTCCTGTTGATAAGCGAAAGAAAATAAAAATATCACTGATTATAAATAACAAATGAATAAATGGATAGATGGATGGATGGATGAATGAATGAAGAAAAGATAAAGAAAAGAAAGAATGAATAAATAAATAACACAATAATATACTATATGATAATAATAATGATAATATTATTATTTAATATATATTATATATAATGTGTTATATTATTCTTTTTCTTTTTCTTTTCTTTTCTTTTTTTTCATACATTTCTCCGACTGATTCTGTCGGCGGTTATATGCTTGTCTCAAAGGCTAAGCCATGCATGTCTAAATTCAGATAAACCTATAATGGTGAAACCGCGAACGGCTCATTATAACAGCTATAATGTTTTGATGATGATTATCCAACGTGGATAACCGTGGCAATTCTAGAGCTAATACGTGCACCAAAGCTCCGGCTTTTGAACAAGCGCATCTATTAGATTAAAACCAATCGGGTTATTTGGCCCGTTAATTGGTGACTCTGAATAGCTATCAGATTGAATCTGATGATTGCACAAACTCAGATATCAAGCATAACAATTTAAATTAATGGTAGCAGACTTATTTTAAATCTATTTTATTTTCGAATTTTATTTCCTCTTTGCTTAAATTTTGGACATCTTTTAAGATTTATAAAATCATTATATTATTTTGACATTTTAATTTTTCCCTTTTCATGCATTTGTCATTTTTACACAAAGCAATCTTCGGATCAGTTGGATTAAATGACATCACGTCATCCTTTACATTATGCAAATCAACAAATTCATCAATTGACCATAGTTAATATGAATTAATTATCTTTCGATCGCTGATGGTATTTCGATTACTCAAATCAATTGTAACTAATTTCCATTCATTTAATTTACCGATAAATGATTAAATGCTTATTAAACAAAAACTTGCTTTTGGACTTACTCTCATCCGTCTTACAAATGTCACTCAATTTTCGCTCATTTCATTAGCCATATTATTGATTAGAATGCTGTGTCAAATTTTATAACGATATTACTATAAGTTCAAATTTAATATCAGATATTTCGATAATTTTTATTGCAATGGTGTCATGTGAAATTTCCAAATAATATACCAACTATCATTCATCGATGAATTGAGAAGGCAAATTTATGCTCAAAGTCATTTGGAATGAAAACCCTTTTGAATTGTTTCGTGAAAGAGGGAGTTAACTTTTAAAGTTTCAGTCTTGTAAATCTGATATTCTTGCGTGATGATTAGTTTTTCAACATCTATATCTTTGATTTGCAATTATTTCCCATTAGGTAATTTGATTAATCTTAAAGAATTTTGTGTTTTTGCTTGTTGTCCATGTTGCTATCGCTTCAAAATAATTAATTTAGTTTGCTATTAATTGCTGGAAACTCAATGCTTCCATCTAATTAATTTATTTTAAAGTGATAATGAATCCATATGATTACTTCTATTACAATCATATACAATATTCAATTTGTTTTGTAAAGCATAAAAATGAATAAAATATAATAATAATAGAAATAAATCATTCCAGATTTGAAATGATTAAAATATGTCAAAAAGAAGAGCAATAGATTTGAGCATACATTTTGCATATATTTTATCAATTTTCAAAAAACGATTTTCCCATGTTTGAGAAGGAAAAGAATTTAATAAAAATATTGAATTCTGTTGCCAGTTGCATTGATATTGCAAAGAAAATCATGACTTTTATTTGCATACATTTGCATAAATCTATGATTTTGATGATGCCATGAAAAAATTTCTATTGCTTCACAAAACATTTACAATATTCATGATTAAAAAGCTCGCTTTTTATTCTATAAGTCGTTTTTATCGCTATATTTAGACAAAATTATGCAAAAAAGCTCATATAATTATGCAAAAAGTTTAAGAGCATTATATTATAAATTGGTCATAGATCGCATACAATTGAAACGTTTAAAATCAGTCTCTAAATAACTCTCCAAATCAGTATAACATTTAATACTTGCTACAGTTCACTTTCTTCTGATTTATATATTTTGTGAAAAAATATCTAAAATATTTTCCAGAATTTCTACGCCAAGTTCTATTCCGTATTTTAATCATTACCATTTATCCGTGTAAATTGATTGCGACTCAATATGCTACTATCTTATTACTTTCCTGTAGCTCTATTCTCATTTTGCATAACACAAGTAGTGGTAAGTGAATTATTCACTGCTTTGACTATAAAAATTAAATATCGATAAATTTTTCGTCTAAAAGTAAAAAACTTTTATTAGTTTTTCTCATTATTTTCGAAGCAGTCAATGTTTTGCGTTTAAACATCAATTTGCAGCATAAAAAATAGTTTAGTTTCCTCGAAATATTTCGAAGATATCAATTGTCAATATTTTTGTCTATCCACATTATATTTTACCTTAAATAAATCACAATTAAACAGCAAAAATGATATTTCTCCTCAAAATATTATTTTAATTCTTTGAAAAACCTTCAAGGATAGCAAACATCGAATGATTAAGAAACATTTTCATTCAAAGATTTCACAATGATATCAATAGAATTAAATTGCAGTGATTGAAATTGCTTAAAAGTTTCAGGAAAATAGTCACCAAGTCAATTGAAATAAAACATTTCGCATGATTTCAGATCTCAAATAGAAATGATTCATCAATTCAAGCAAGAATAAATAATCAATTAGACTTATATGAACATGATAGAACACATGCAAACAGAGAACTGTTCGAGTGCAATGTATGCAGCAAAAGATTTAGTAGAACCAGAGATATGAAAAGGCATCACCGAATACACACAAAAGAGAAACCATACAAGTGCGATGCATGCAGACAAGAATTCAGTGATGCCAGCAGTCTGAAAAGACATCACCGAATACACACAGGAGAGAAACCATACAAGTGCAATGCATGCAGACAAGAATTCAGTGATGCCAGCAGTCTGAAAAGACATCGACGAAAACATACAGGCGAAAAACCATTCAATTGTAGTGTATGCGGGAAAGAATTCAATGATCTCAGTAATATGAAAAACATCATCGCAAACATACATTCGAAAGACCATTTAAGTACGATGTATGCGATAAGAAGTTCGATCACAAACGTTCAGTTGAAAGATTGCACTGCATGAAGAATATACAAACAAATAATGTCTGCAGTACAGCCATATTAATAGAGAAAATTATTTCACATTCAAGAATATGAGCTCTGTTTTACTTCTCATATTTTGTCGATTATTGTTTGATTAATTTCTAAAAATATTTAATAAAATTTGAATAAAAAATTCCTAGTTGCAATTGAACTAAATTTAAATATTTGATCCATTTTATTACTTAAGTTTTCATACATTATTGTAATCAAAAATATTCTATTTTTTTTACCGCATTTATCTATTTGTCATTATAGTTTTTCATCAATGACTCGAAAATGTTGGTAAAATACCGACAAGCCTATTTTACTCGAATTCTTGCTCGCTTTTTGTTATCACATAACGTGATTGAAGATAAAAACTTCTTTTCTCCGCACTTAGTTTTGCAAATCTCAGTGTAAATGGCAACAGAATTCAGTATGACTATCTAATTCTTTTGTTTTCGAAATTTAGAATGAAATCAACGGAATGCATTGTTCATTGCCAAAAAGGTGTTTGTTGACAGCGACGTATTGAAATTCGTAAAAGGTTAAATATTTCAAAATTGGAAATCTGACATAATTAAGACTGATTCAAGATAAAAATCATAATTTGTTTGCCAAAAATTATTGCATATGCAAATTGCAAGCATTTATACATTTCTTTTTCTATTCATAGTCTGCATTGAAAATTTGCTGGTTTAAACGATTTCATATAATGCTATACCAAAAGAATTTTTGATAATAATACAAAACAGATCGATAACGCGAAAGTTTTAACCGAATTGGTCACATTTTTTCGAAATAGGATATATCGTTCCCATACAATAGTTCCGAAAAGAAATTTTTCTTATTTAAAATTTCTGATGGAATTATAAATAGACCTTCCAGAATACCAGCGCGGACTCCTTCGCAAATCAGTAATGAATGATCTGCGAATATTACTTTTCTTTTATATCAAGAGGTTCTATGTAAGGAATATATTCATTTTAAATTATATGTACTTTTCTCCAAAGAATTATGTCAAAAATATACTTAATGTTAGAAAAGTTAAATTTTGGAAAAACCTGATTTTTTTAGAATAATGCCTTTTATATTATTTTAACCATTTATTTGCTACAGTACACCATATGACCGATAAATCGCTTGTAGTTCAATTTAAAATTTAATTCCAACAAACTTCAAAAAATTTTTAAGATATCAATACTTATCCATAACAAATGCCAATTTCTATTATCTTGTTTAATAGTCGTTACAAGTTTGATCGATCTCAGTATTATCTCTTTTTCTTATACTTTGAAAATTCATTTTTCTGTACCCGTACTACTATTTCAATATTTACACATATTTTATATAGATAGCATTGCCCACTACTGTTTTTGCCTTTGTTACATTTGACTGCATAATCAATTAGAACAAATTATTTCAAAATATCTCCGTATTGTAGGAAATTTTAATAATACCATGAATATTTCTCCCATTAAAGAAGAAATTAATTGGACTACAACTTAATTTTTTCCTATCATGATGAGAATTCTTAAGATTTAAATTTCAGATTTTATTGAAATATTGTATTTTTATACTTATAGAATGCAATGTATGTATTAAAAGGATGTCAATGCGCAATGAATTTTGAAAATATAATTTATGCTTTTCAGAAAATTTTCAAGACATCTGCGGAAAAGAAAATATTTACTTGAAAATAGCAAAAATCATTTGTTCTGGTTTTAACAGTCAAACGGTCTTGACAGCTGAATATACTTGAAAGAAGAAAAACGCAAAATCATAGGTCGAGCAATTTATAAACGACCAATTTAATGTTATATAAACAGAAATTTTTAAGTATCTGAAAATACAAAACATGATAAATAACATGATTGAAAATATTTGAATTGAAAAATTTTTAGACAACAATATTTCAAGAACGAAATTGAACATAAATAGAATTCTAGAATAGTTTTTAGAAATATTGTCATCTTTCTCTTCTTTATTTTAATTAGGAGTTTGTAAAAGTTGTGATTTAGTTTATGTAAAATCTTTTCAAATATAATCATTTTCTAATCAAATGATTTAATTTCATTCTAACAGTTGTGTGATTTTATTTGAATTCCGATATATTCTAAGTAATCTGGCTGATATTTTGACCAAAGAACTTACTCTCATAGAGATCCAATAGAAGTTATATAACTTTGATGCACTGGAAATATAAAAGACTATCGTGGTTAAAGGAACTCAAAAGCGAGTGACTCCAATAGAAATATTAGTGTCAAAGTTTATCAGTGTCAATTTAACGACAATTCAATATCGAGGAATGTTCCAAGACAGAAGGAGCGACAAATTCGATGCTTTTATATAGCGAATAACAGTTTATCAAAATCTACAGTTCAAATGGATCGAAAGTTGCATAGAAACAAAAGTAGCAACACTGTAGGAAACATAATGAACAAGTATTCAGATACTGATATCTTTTACTTTACTAGCTATTGTCATTTATAAATACCATATTGTGGACAATTTCATGTAAAACTAATAAAGACTACTGTCGACATAATTACCAACAAAGATTATTGTTGATTATACATAATATTGTATAAGATTAATGAAGAGTTTCGTCTATAATGTCTGTCTCTTTGGGTAAAAATAATAGAAAATGAACAAGTAGGCGATAATAGAAAAAAATTTCAATCAACTGAATTGTATCAACCAGATTTCAAATTACAATTTTTTCAATATATCTTAGGAAAAAGTTTTGCATTTAAATGAGCAAAGATTTTGAGCAAAAGGAATCTCTTCTCTATATGAAGTTTTTAATAATTATTTCATCTTCTTTAAATTGAAATATAGAGTAGTCATTTTCTTGAAGAACACTTGCTGGTGATTTAACAACATTAGCTTATTCCGTCGAAAAATTACTTCGAATGTAATCGACAAGGATAAGGTAATAAGCTTATCAAACTGCTTATAAGATTCGAAAATATGTTAAAATGATTTTCTCTAACTGGCTAATTAGAATTCTATGAATGAAAAACTATTATAATTATAATCACTGTTTCGTGAATCGTTTTAATGCCTGCCACTCTGCTATACTGATAATAATAGCCTTTATTGTAAGAAACAAAGCCTTCGTCAGTGTTAAATTTCATCTTATCCATTTAGTATCTATAAATTTTATCAAATTTCTTATTAAGAATTTTTGAACTACAAAACTTCTGTAACAATGATTATCATGATAGCAATAATGAGGAAAATGATTAATTTGGCATTCTCCATAGAATATTAAAAATGAATACAGAAAAATTTACAGTGTAATTTTCTCATGCGTTGAAATGATTTCCACAGTAGTCCAGTTCGAACCATTCTTTCAAAGTCCATACAATGTTGAATCAGTCGTTCAATATTTCGTTGTGCAAATGATATATTTCTTTCTTATACAAAGATTCCTACTGTTAATTTTTTTCTAATCACATGTAATAGTGAGAAAGCCTTCAAATCTTCAAATCCTAGAAAATTGTGAGGAAGCTTCTTTTGAGAAAATAATTCCCATGCAGTTTTCTCTCGGATAAAAATTCTGTCACTTCTCATGTAATTCACATAATATTGTAAGCTCAACCTACGTATGTTTAATATATATATATACTCTTGAAATCTTTTCTGCAAGTTTTCTTTTGTTCAAAATTATTTGTTTTCTTACTCAGCACTGCACACGTTTCGATCACTTCATTCTACATTAGTCTCTCTCAAAAATTGTCTCAAAATTTTATTAGTATTGATGTCATAATTTGTAAATCAATGGTGTAATTAAGATACTCCTTATTTTTCTTGCTCTACGCGATACATACAATTCAAAAGGAATTTTTAGTCAAGAGAACATTAATCGATCTGAATGAATTATATTCAAGATACAATTTGGAAATTCTTCTAATTGATACTGATTCTGCGGCATAAGGCAACATATATTAGCAAAGAATCCATTTATGCTTTCTTAATTAATACCAAACTCTTAAGCATTTGAAAACAATTTTTACAATGGAAAATAAACCGAATGAATGTTTAAGAAAATTTCCACATGATTTTTCGATTTAAGTTTAATTTGAAATTTAAATCTATTATATATGATAACACATATAAGAAAAGAACTTTATCACAACTTTTGGATTCTCTTCCTCCCTTTTAACTCGGCTTAATTATTATCACTGTTGGAATTTCTGAATGTTTATCTAATAGCACAGTTGGATTTCGCATTTAATTCTAATCCACTATTAATTCTTAAATAATAGATTATAAATTAATAAATGATTAACAATAATCTTATTTGATAACTAATCTTGGTCTCTTA